TTTTTTTTTTTTATCCGAACCGCCGGTTTTAGATCTGCCTGACGGTTCAGACGGGTTGGCTGGATCTCGACCATTGTATCTTAACGGTCAAGATGATCTAACGATAAAAAAGATCAAATAACCAAGATTCAATACAGTCCGCCGGGTCTCTAGAGCGGTTCTAGGCCGACCTTGACCTAGCTCACTGTTTAAAAAATTTATGAATAGGTCGCCCTGAAAAGGCCAAGTCAAACTATGGGCTCGAAATAAGTTGGTGCTTGAAAAAGAGTGGGTGAAGCCTTATCAAGTTATGAATGGAGCTTGAGCTGAGTGACTTGAAATGGAATACCTAGAAGTGGAAGTGACCAACATGGAAATGAGGATAGAGATTGCATTGGTGGGGAGAATTTGTTAGGGGGATAGGGTCTGGGTGGAGCTTGATGAACTAGAGGTGGAGGTAGGGTAGAGGTTAATATATTTCATGCCAAAACTAATGGTATGAATTCAATTGGTTCGAGAGGAATTGCTTGGAAATCTAAAGGAGAGATAATGAGGGCTTGGTGCTCATTCAGGTACCCTGTAGTTAGGGTTGCAAACGAGCCAAGCCGAGTAGAGCAATGGCCTTATCCAGCAGGATTGATTTTTTATTTTCTTTTGAGCTGCCCGAGCCCGATTTATGAGGCTCGAACTCGACTATAAAAAAATACAATAGCACAAGCCCGGCTCGAGTTCGATTCGAAAGTTTTCAAGTAATTTTGTAAAATTACCATTAAGTACATATATTAATATTATGATACATATATAAACAAGGGGTATTTTAGTTTAATAATTTAACATATATCTCGAGCAGTTCGCGAGCTGCTCGAGTTCGACTCAAGTTCGGTCAAACTCGAGCTCGAACCGAGCCGAGCTTTGACTCGAGCGCTCTCGAGCAGTCCGCGAGCCGCTCGACTCTTGTGCAGCCCTACCTGCTGTTGGCTTAGTGGAGGATTTACTCATGTCTGTAAGGTTTGCTCCAGTTAGTGTAGTGCAAGAAGGATGGAAAAAAATTGATCATTCAGATATATGACCATGCTATTGCATAGAAGCTCAGTCAGAATGATTGTTTCTCGAGGAGCCAAAATGTAATAACTGAAGATATCTGCTATATGCTTTTGAATTTGTTAGAAGCTTGTATATTTAGAACTGATTTTAAGTTTGTTAGTCCAGTTTGTGCTAGGCTTTCTGATTTTGCGTTAGTGGGAGAAGCATATCCTTTATATGACTTTCTCCTCTTTTTCCTATTTGGATTGAGTTTATCCTTGTAGCTTGTAATATCAGTTGACGTACCCTTTTTACTCTTCTCTTGAGTATATTTTAATGCCATCGTTGGAGAAAAAAAACATAGATTACAAAGATAGATTATTTAGGGAATGACTACAGTCTCGTTGACGGAATGATTCCGTTAGTGTTTGTTACCGTAAATTATCCACACAACATAATCTAGATGTGTATCCAATGATGAAAAACACTAACGGAACCATCCCGTAACAGGACATTAGCATTTTCTGATTAGTTAATGCATAGTTGATACTATGGATAAAATGGATCGAACATTTCTTGCATTGCTTAACATATTCATATTTTCTTACCTTACTACAAGAAAATAATGAAATTCAAATAGGAAATTCCAATGACAATATATTTCAATAGAATTCCAGTGAAAATTTCAATTCAATTATTTTCGTTGAAATTTTCCAATGAATCCAAGTGAAATTCCAATGAAAATTTCGTTCCAACGAAATATTTTCGTTGGAATGAGTTTTTTCATTGAAATTTTTGTTGGATTTTCGATTCTAACAATATATTTTCCAACGGTTGAAAATGAGTGGAAACAAAAATTCCATCGAAAATTGCATATTACAACAGAAATTTCTATGGTAGTAACCAGAAAAAAATGAATGTTGGAATCATCAAATTCCAACTAAAATTCTAATAGAAAACTCAGTTTAACGGAATATTTCCGTTAAAATTTTCATTGGAATTATTCAAACGGAAGGTATACCATTAGAATATCGTTAAAATTTTCATTGGAATATATTAACGTTGTATTTTCTGTTGGAATACGATATATTTTTTTGTAGTGACTATCATATTAGATATGACATCGAGGTATATTTAAGCAAAGTGTTGAGCACTATGTTTGCAAATGAACTAAGTCGAGGCGAGCGATGGCCTTGTCGATCTGAACACGATTTTTTTGGCTAGTGCTCGGGCTCGACCTCAATTTCAACAAGGTAAGCTCATTGAAACTCGACTTAACTCAACAATATTATATTGATGCTCGAGATCGGCTCAAAATAGACTTGAATTTCATTAGGTTGACATACGCTCAAGTTTAAAGAGAATTTTACTCTTCTGTCATCTGGATAGAGTTGGACGTGGCCGCTGTCATCACTCTTCTGTCATCTGGATATCAGGGCACGTAGCAGACCCAGCATCCTCTCATGCGCATTAGAGTCACTCTCCAGTCGATTCGCTCCCGAATCTCGCACATCTTCTGCAAAGGGAACCGGCAAGCTGACTTCCTCGTAGGCATCGGGTCCTCCACCCCCCACAGACGCATTCTTTATCCTGACGACATTCCTATCAGTCTCCGCACCGTCATACGGATGAACCAGATGGGATACCCTTTATTCAGATCTGTGTAGCTGGACCCAGGGACGGATCCACCTTGTTCTTAGGGGGGGCCATTGTCCCCCCCAAACTTTTAATTTTTCCTAATACATATGTATGTATGTAGATTCTAAGGTATTTTTTTAATATATATATATATAGATTAAATTTATATAAAACCTATTCAATTTATATGCATTCCCATAAATATTACAAATTATTGTATAAGTCTATTGTTTAATTAATTTTAACTTCATCATATTTTTTTAGTATCCTATTAACATTGTTTTATAATATTTTATGTTTGATCTTATGTACAATTAAAAATTAAAGAGTAAATTTGGAATAGAATAACATGCAATATATGCAATTCAATAGTTCAAAATAGAATTGCTAGAACTATTAATACCGCGGTAGACCTTCTCTTGGCTACTTATAATAGTTAAACCACACTACTCTTCCAACAAATATATTTATACTTTCATACTTAATTGACATGCCTTATAGTGCATACAAATAAAAGTATGACATTTCATAGTATAATAATGCATATTTCGCAAAAAAATATATATGTCTAACAGTTAGACAGCCTACCAATTATATATAGCATTTGTGTTAATATCGAGTCAATCATCAATGAGTTTCATGAGTGTAAAGAATGTTGAGCATTTAAACTATTGAGTTATGTCTTTTGTAGTGCAACTTATTAATTAATTTTAAAATTTTAAAATGTAATTATACGCCTATATACGTGTATGTGAGAGAGCATGATATATTAAAAATTATAGTCCCCTTAAAATGTTATACGTGCCAAGTCAAGTAACTCATGTTTAAACTTATGATAGTTTAATAAATGAGTCAGATCAGCTCGACTATTGAGTAAATAAACTAAAAAATGAGCTCAAACTCCGCTTGTGTAAGCGACACTCTACTCGATTTGTTTAATAAGAAAGTTGAATAGTCATTCTAGTTTGGTTCATTTTAATATATAATGATATGAGATCAAACTTTCACGAGTTGAACAAACACAATCCGGTTCCAATAATTGCTTTAGCCCCTCCCAATTATTTTTCCTAGATCCGCCCCTGGCTGGACCTACCTTTTGGCGCACCCGCCACACTGTGATGCTGACTTTCTAGCCGGGCCTCCGCGGGACATGATCTGTTATTTTCATATTTCCCGCTGCAGTTGTCAGCTTTTCTCTGTATTTTTTCTTTTCTTAGTTGCTTTTTGGTTTTTCATTTGACTGGATGTATATCAGACATTGTACTTGTAGCTTTCTGACTTTTTCGGCCCATTTACGGCATTTTATATATAGGTTGGAGGTTCTGCCTTAACCCCTCACCCTACTCGGGTGTTGGTTAAAAAAAAAAAAAGAATTTTACTCCCTTTTTAGGCTGCATTTAGCCTAAGTTAGGGGTATTTAAGTCAGTATACATGTACTCAAATGATTTGTCGAGTAACCGAGCTCAAAAAATACAAGTTCAAGTTCAGGAGGATCGAGTTTGCTGTCAAACTTGAGCTCGTGAGCCGCTTGATTCGTTTGTATAATGATATTTTAAATTTAAATATAATAAAATATTAAGAATAATATTTAATTACAAAATATACATAAAGAAAAAAGAAAACAATGATATAATAACTAATAGTAATAAACAATAGAATAAAATTAAGCATACCTTCCTACAAAGAAACACTAGCTCAAATCCACCCACACACACACAACCAAGCAAATAACCAAATACCCTTCATTGTATATAACGCAACCAAACACCAAATTGCACATAAAATTGTTTCTTTTTTTCCCCCTCTAATCCCAACTATTTTAATTGTATACCAGATGTACCAAATTTTTATATATATAAGGTTTTCCCGTCACCATCACCAACCCCCTTCCCTTTTTCTGGATGCCCCGCCATATTTTTAACTTCACCGACAAAAACCCCCTCCAAAATTTCACCTCCAATGATTAAATAAACAAGAAAAAAAAAAATATCCAATGTGTTTTTACTTTTTGACCTCTAAATTATCCTTAACAACCTCTTTAACTATAAAGACACATTTTCAAAACTAACCGGCCAGGTCATGCAGCAGCTGGGCGCCCATCAGATTCCGGTACGGCGGATTCTGGCTCTCCCCGTCGAGCAACGTCGACGAATACTGCACCGTCACCTGGCATTCCTCCATACCCTGCTCCCGCCCATAGAACATCGCTCCCTGCGGCAAGGGAGAAAACGGTAAATTCCCGTGCTGGTGCAGCCCCAGCGTCAGCGACACCCCTCCCCCACCATGAGACGGCGGGAACCCAAACCCGAAAGCGTCCCCCGTGGGGCCCACGCGCCCGAATTCCGGGCTCTGGAGGGGCTGCTTGCTCCGCCCGATTACTGAGGAGAGTGATCCCGGGTCGACCCGACCCAGTTGGTCGTCGGTGGGCTTTTGGTCCTCGGGCCTGTTGTGATTGACCGATGGGCCCTCGTCGTTTTGTGGGTTTTCCTCTTTCAGCTCCTCCAAATACATTTCCTCAACCATGGGCTTCCACAGCCGAACCCTTGCGTTTATGAACCAGTTGGAAACCTAAATTAATTGAAAACTTAAATTAATTAAGATTATAAAAATGTCTTAGTTACTTTTATTATGTATGTATGTATGTGTGTTTTTTTTTTTTTCATTTTATTGTATATAATTGAGAAAAGACTAAAGAGAGAAAGGGACTTTGCCTGGCTTCTGGAGAGACCCGTTTGGCGGGCTAAAATGTGCTTATCAACATCACTTGGATACCTGTAGAGATTTTTCATGGGCATATGACAAAAACTGATCAAACACTCCAACATGCAGAGGTAACTGAAAAAAAGATGATGATGAGGCTTGTACTTTTGTTTTTTCCAATAACATGAAAGAGTACAAACATACAAATGGGTCCTATGTATCATGTATGCAACAGAACGAAACCCACACAAACATATATGACAACAAACAACTCCAAACAATAATGCAAGTGCATGAATACATAAAAATTTAAGAATTTTGAAACTTTTACGGGTGGAGAAAGTGCTCGAAAAGCCAGGCCCGAAGAACCGAGACCGAACGCTCGGGAAGCCCGCGTTGGGGCCGCCAGGGATGAATCTCCATATTGCTCATCTGCTGTAGGGCCCGCTGTTGTCTGATCGTCTGATCAAGAATCCTCAATCTCGGTGTCTCCCCTTTGACTGTGCCTGGAGCTGAGCTGTCCTTTTCCCCCATGGCTTTCTTGGTGGCCTTAATCTGGCTCAAAATTCCATCTTTCAGGCACCGGAAGTGTCGGGACATGGCCTTGGAGGCTAAGGCTGAGTAGGCTCTCGCAGCCCCATTCCCGGCCACCGACTCAAACGATGATGTCACTCCCCTCATTTGGTCACAGTAGTGTTTGTACCTTCTCTCCACCTTCACACAAATTGAAATTTAGTCTATTCAGAAAAAAGATTAAAAGATGAACTATATCAATAGCCTTCCTTCTTTCTTTTTCTTATTTATTTATTTTTTATTTTTTTATTTTTTTTTTGTATTGTATACATATGTAGTGAAAATTTGGTGAGGCCTGAAAATGAACACAGGTAAAAAAGAGGGGTTCTATTTTAATATCTGTAAAAAGCTTTTAATAAAGCTCCCAAATGGTCTCCATGTGTAGGCATTAAATGGAAAGGTTTTTGAAAGTACAGAAAACAAGTTCAACTGCCTGTGCTTATATGAACAAAGATCAAATCAAGAAGAGAGCGTGTGGAGCATGCTATTATTATCATTTTTAACAATTAAAAAATGATTAAATTTATTGTGTACCTCTTCAAGCATTTGAAGCAGCTTGCTTTTCCTTCTCTGCAGCTCAACAATGTTGAGCGAATAAAGCGACTGCCTTTTATCAGCGTTAATCTCACTCTCCCCCCACTCACCATCCTCCTTCAGAACGTCCTTCATCTTCCGACCCGACCCGTTAACCTCATGATTCGACCCGAGGTCGCAAAACTCTTGCAGCAGCTCTTGGGCCGGGCCCAAATACCTCGAGTTTCGAACAAAAGCCTGCTGCTGCATATTGTGACTGCTCTCGGGCCTGGAACTCGACGGCCCAAATCTAAACAGGTCATGTTGTCTGAGCTCGAAAGACTGAAGCCCTATGGAAGAAGGGTTGGAAGGGTTCAAGGAGAGTGAAAGCCCGTGGCTTGGCCTCTCGTTGCCTTCACACGGGAAAACGCACGACCTTAAAGACGACTGGTCGAGCAGCTCCGTCATATCGTGCTGCGGGTAAAACCCGGCACTTTCTTGATTTACAATTTGGTCCTTGGGGTTTGAAGAAGGCGGGCATTGCCGCGCGAAAAACGAGCTTTTCCAGGAGAAGCTTGCGTCGGGAGTACTGTGCGGGTTCTTGGGGAGAAACCCTATCATGTTGTCCATGCCGGAGGAGATGAGATTGTAGATTTCCGGGCCCGGAGGCCCGAAACCGTGAAGATGGGCCCGGAGGTTTTGGGCTTCGGCATTCGTGGAGGGGTCCGGATAGCAGCTGTAGTCACCGGAGGGGATTAGGTCGTCTCGACTGGGTGATTTGTCCACGTCACCACTTGGGCCAGCCATACATGACATATGTGAATGTAATTTATATGAATTTTAATAATATGATATTTGTATATCCTCCCTTTGTTGATGTCTTCTGTGGATTCTTGTTCTGCACAACTCTAATAAAGTGGTAGCATGATATTCACCGACTGAAAATTCAATCAAGATTTCGTTAGAGCCATCAATCAATCAATCAGCCAGTCAAATAATAAACAATTAATATCAAGTGGGATCAAAGATCCAATTTTTATGATAAAATAACAAGAAAGTGAGCCCCTTTTTTTCTGTCTGTGCGCCTCCAAAGCTCAAAAAGATTGAATCTTTACCCTTAAAATTTTATGGGATAGAGAGAGAAAGAGAGTATTAGGTAGGAGAAGAGTTTAACTATGGAGGTTGGAGGTGGGGGTTGATAAGGATATTTGGTGGATGAGAGAGAAAGCGAAAGAAAAAATTAAATTAAAAAAATGGGCATTGTTTTAGCTCTCTATCTTTTGATCTTTCTCAGAAGTCTACTCTTAATAACCCAACAAAGAAGAAAGGGCAAGCCATGAAAAACATAAACCTAGGAAGAAAGATGGTACACACCCATAATACCCCAACAAAAACCGTGAAAAAAAAAAGGGAAAGAAAGAAGCTCAGATAGGCTTTTTGATCATGACCTGCAAAGCAAATCCACATTCATCATTTGATTTCTTTTTAGCTCCCTCACTTTCTCTCTCTAAAAAGCAAGCACAACCAAAAATAAAAAGGAAAAGGGTGGGTCAATCCTCAATGATATGCACAACACACACCACATATACATACAAATGAAAAGCCTTCCCTACTATATATCCACCCCCCCCCCAAGGGGGGCCCACACCCCCTTCAATTATTTCACACACACACCCCCACTTAATAAAATACCAATTAGAACCATCCGAGACTTTTTTCCCTCACACCCTTTCCCAAGTCCTCATATGATTTAATGATAATCTTAATATAGTTTAAATGACAACTCAACATCTTAAGTTATATAATAATTTTAAAAAAGGAATATATAATGTGGTGGTTTTGAAATGTCGTACCACCCTCCCCGCATGGTCCAAAATGCCTAGCCAATATACTATGTGGTACAAAGCCGCCACATGCTGTGTCTCTTCATGTACCTTTCCTTTTTTCTTTTCTTTTTTTTTTCTTTTACCTAAAATGCATAATTTTCAAAGTTTAATAAGAACCCGTTTCATAAAAAGGCATAGAAGAGAACAAAGATTGGATTTTATGCAAGTAAAAAAAAAAAAGATTTTTTATTTTTTTGAAAAGGGGTGCCAATTTTTTATGTGTACATGCTCTGTGTGTATGTGTTTGTGTCCCCCCTCTTGTAGGGGTTGTGAATCCCCAGAACTGAAGGTAAACTGCAGTTTTGAGCAGGCTTTTTCTTCAGAAAGGGGGCCTCTTTTTGCTGTGGGGCTAGCTTTGAGTAAATCTGATCACAATTCAATTAGTGGAGAGATTTTTAGAGAGAGAAAGAATGGGAATGAGATGCCCAATTGTGTGTAGTGTGCAAAAAATGTTCCAAGATTAGACCCTGTGGAGGTCCTGAGATGAGGTGGTCCATCTTTTCCAATTAATTCTAATTGAAACCACCTCCATATTAAAGCCCACCACCAATCTCTATCTCTTTTTTCTTTCTCTCTTCTAATTGGGACCAGCATCTATTTTTTTCTTTTTTTCTTTAGTTGATTAATTGCCTTTTATTTTTCCAAATTGTGCCTATGGCCAAAACGAATTCACATGTTTGTTATAGAGCTGTCCGAAAAAAATAAATAAATAAATAACCTTTGCTTTGGTGTTTGGTCGTTACTCGTTCGTGTGTGCATATGATCGAGTCATTAATTTGATCAACATTTTGAGGCTCATTTAATCTATCATGTGTACATATGGGGTCTCGCCTCGAATATGTACTTGTGTGTCCAACATCGAGAGTAATTAGTATTATGTTGGTAAGACTAAATAAGGTAATTAAAATTGAAATTTTATTAAATTATGGTGCACAACAAAGGGTTAAATTACAATAATAGGTATGTAAGGCTAACATAACCATTAGAAACACATAACTTTATGTGTTGACACGTGTCTAATGTGTATTTATTCCATGACACGTGTCAATACACCATTTGTGGATAACTATGGATAACACAATAAGCCGAGTCATCCTATGGTTCCATAGCAAAACTGTAGATTGACATATTTATTTTATTGTGCATATTTTTAATAAAAATGTCATATTTTAAATAGCAACATAAATAGACGCATGCATCAAATTTGATAGTGTTGACGTTTGGGCGTCAACCACAATTAATGGGACGGTTTTTTAAGGTGTACGCAATTCAACGTAACAGAACGATCGTTTAAGTGATGCCAAAATAAAGTACTGAAAATTATTGCAATGATTACTTGAAAATTATTGACCATCATGGTTGTTGTAATGATTTTAGAATTGTTTATCATAATATCTTTCACAATCGTTTGAATATGCAATATTTGTGTGCCTAATAACTTCTTTAATACTTTTATTGTCCAACATTATTCATCATACAAAATAATTATAAAATTCAAGATAAAGATCATTTCTTTATTCTCCAACAATGACAAAACAAAACAATGAGAAAATATTGAGAAGCATATCATTTGTTAAAATATTTGATAGGAGAAGAATTAGAATTCTATTATATTACGATACTCTTAGTCATCTGCAAAGTTTATTATTATTGAGTCATGATTAAAATATACATTATGTATTACAAATTTTTGGATTTTTCAATTATTTAAAATTAAAAATAAATAATATAGGATCATTATTTATGAAAACTAATTTCTTACAGAGTTCATATATTTAAACGCTAGCAACAAAAAAATAGTAACTCTTACAGACTTTCTGTTTGTAAATATTGGTATTCATACTTCTCTAAGAAAATTCACACGTATTCTTTTTCTCATTGTGTTACTATTATATTATTTGTTTCTTATTCCAAAGACAAATAATATTTTATTTGCTAAATAATTAAAGCACATTTATATGTATTGCGTTATTTTTTGTATGTGTTTTATATAATGATGTTTTTAAATTATCTTTTTTATAAAGCTACAACTACTATAATCACTTAAGATACAATGTAATATTAATATATTTGATAAAAATGTACTTTTTATATGAATTATTAGATTAAAAAGTTTACAATTTTTTCCAATGTTTGATAAAATATTAGGTAACTAAGTCATTTTCATAATCACTGAATACATATATGGTGCCGCCATTATAGGGTTATTTTTCAAGCAGTAATTGAATAATAGTTTAACGTACAACTCATTTATTTGTCTTTTTAATTCACATAGGACATAACTAATGTTATCTCATTTCCCTTCTCTAGCCTAGTCTTCTCCTTCTTTTATCTATGACTTCACTTCGCTTCGCTTTGTTTGTACCTAAGGTGCATTCGCCATAGTTTCAGCATTACGGCAAACCAGTGTCAAATATATATCAGGAATGGGTGTTCTAGTCAAAACGTGGGAATAGTTGTAAGTTTACCTCCATTTTTTTTTTTTCTAATATGAATTGTTTCAAATATATGTAAGAAAAATATACCACAAGTTTATCTTATATTATTTTATACTTAATAAAATTGATGTACCTTGAATAAAAAAAATAATATATACTATAGTTTTAGGTCAATTTATTGTTTTCAAATTAGTACTGATATATATATATATATATGTGTGTGTGTGTGTGTGTGTGTGTGTGTGTGCGTGTGTGAGTGTATATATATCGATATAAATAATTATATTATTTTTATTTTATTTTCAATATATTGTCAACTCAAATATTATTGAAAAGAAATGATGTGATATATTACATATAAAAAGAGTAACAAATAAAAAATATGAAGTATTTCAAAATTAAAAAATTTAATGATAGATTATTTTGGATCTATCACTGCAATTAGCTTTCCAAAATTTCCATTGAATTTTTGACTAATTCCAATGATAGTTTTTCCAACGAGTGAAAAATGGTCTAAAAAAAATTCCAATTGAAATTCAAGTATTAAAATTTTTAAATTCACTAAAGTTCATGTAATTTAATTTGAACTCTGTTGGAATAGCCGATGAAATTTTCCAATGAAAGCAATATTTATGAAATATTCGTTGGAATTTTCTGTAGAAGACCTTACCGTTGATGTTTTCATTGCAAATATAGCAGTTTGTTGTAGTCCTCTTAAACATTAATTTTTTATGTAGTATTTACTGATTAATTGTGTTTACAATTTTTCTATTAAAATATATTAAACACATTAAATTTTTAGTTCCTATATTTTTTTTTCTTCAGAAATCACTCATTATTTTATTTCAAAATTACCTATTAGTATACCAATTGAGTGACATTTTTTACATATGAAATATTTAAAAATTAGAATATTTCTTATTTTATATGTTCAATATGATATTTATATATTATATTAAAAAACTAATATTGCAAATAAAAAGTTATTTAAAATTAGAATAATAAAAATTTTTTTTTGGTAACTTACATGGATAAATATACAAACAACTATTGTCTATCACATCAAATTTACACATAAAATTGTAAGGACAAAACTCTAACAAGCGTTTAACAACTCAGCTCGTTTACGGCGATAAGTATATTTATAAAAGGTTTATATTTCTTCTATTAATTATAACATTTTTATTTATTACTTTGTTTCATATTTATTAGTACGTGTCACAACTTATTTATTTTTAATATTATTTATCATATTAATATTTTTTTAAACTTTTATCTTGTTCTTTTACATGTTCTTAACTGTAGATTTGTCAAAAAATGCATAATATAAAGTCTAGAATTTTTTCGATCATCTGTCTCATTATATATCAATTATTTGTATATCTTATATTATATTATATTTACTTACATTTTTTTTTAATTTATACTACAATTAAATATTATTATTCATAAATTCATCAATAATATTGTCGAGTCAACTTTTGTTCATAAAATTTCAAAAAACATAATTATTTTCAATTATTTGCTTATGTTAAATTGAGAAAAATTATGTTTTTTTAATTGTAACTGTATTGACGTGTAACATGTATTATAGATGAGAAATATGACAAATTATGAAAAATATAATTTATAAATTATAATGACATTATGCTATTTAATTGGTATACCTTTTTTATTAACTAAATAATGCCTCAAGTATGAAATTATTATGTATCCACCACTGCAGGTAGATTTTGAATACAACTTCCATTGAAATTCTTACAATTCCAGTGACATTTTTTCCAACTATTGAAATATGACCCGAAAAAAATTCAAACGGAAATTCACACAATAATAAATAATGATAATTGGATTAATTAAATCCATTGAAATTTCAATATAATGTAATTTGATCTCTGTTGGAATAGTCAATGAAATTTACAATGACAGCTATACGAACAAAATATCATTTGGGATTTTCAGTGGATGTTTTACTGTTGGATTTTTCATTGCAATGTACCATTTTTTTATTCTTTTATAAATTATATTTTTTATGTAGGAGTTTTTGTTATTAAATAGATGTATTTATAATTTTTCTATTAAAAATATATTAAACACATGAACTTTTTAATCCATATATTTTATTAGAAATCGCTCATTATTTTATCGCAAGACTACCTATTAACTTATCAATTGAGTTACATTTCTTGCACATGAAATCAAATAATAAAAAGTATTATTGTATATATATATAATATGGTATTTATATGTTATACTAAAAAACTAATAGCAAATAAAACGTTATTTAAAATCAAAATTATCAAAGCTTTTTTTAAAAAAA